GTGAGGTAATATCTTATTGTGGTTTTGATTTGTGTTTCTCTGATGATTTGTGACATCGAGCACTTTTCATATACATGTTAACCATTTGAATGTCTTCTTTGGAGAAATGTCTGTTCAAGTCCTCTGCCTATTTTTAAATTGGGTTGTTTGGGTTTTTTGCTATGTAGTTGTAGGAGTTCCTTGTATCTTCTATATGTTAATTTCTTATCAGCTATATGGTTTGCAAATATTTTTCTCCCATTCTGTAAATTGTATTTTAATTTTGTTCATTATTTCTTTTGCTGTGCAGAAGATTTTAGTTTGATATAGTTCTAGTTGTTGATTTTTGCTTTTGTTGTTTATGCATTTGGTGTCAAATCCAAAAATTCACTGCCAAGACCAATGTCAAGGAGCTTTTTCCACTATGCTTTTGCCTAGGAGTTTTATGGTTTCAGGTCTTATGTTTATGTCAATCCATTTGAAGGTAATTTTTGTGAATGGTGGAAGATAGAGGTCCAGTTTCATAGTTTTGCATGTGAATATTGTTTTTTCAAGGCCGTTTGTTTAAAAGACTCTCATTTTACCATTGAATATTCTCCTCTCCCTTGTCAAGTAATAGTTAACCCCATGTGTGTGAATTTATTTCTTGGCTCCAGATTCTGTTCCATTGGTCTATGTATTTGTTCTTATTTGTTTGTTTGTTTTTTATTTTATGTGTGTCTGTTTTTATGCCAGTACCATACTGTTTTGGTTACTATAACTTTTTTTTAGACATTTTCTTTCATACCTTATAAGGGTCTTATAGCATGAACACATACCAATTTCTATGTTCCTACATGCCCATAACCCAAGGGGAAGTGTCCAGTTCTCCCATGAATGCTTTCCTCAAAGTAGATAGCTCCAGGCTGGGTTTGCATTTTGTGTAACTCAACAGGGAGTGACCATGATGGTGGTTCTGATGATAATAATCACTATTAATGGAGCACTTACCATATGCCAAGATCTTTTCTAACTTCTTTATATGTTATAATACATGTTAAGTTCTACAACAATCCTAAGAAATCTGTATTATTATCCCCATTTTACAGATAGAGATTACATGAGTGTTCAAGATTTGCCCATTTTACCCAGCTAGTAAATGATAAGTTGGGTAATAAACTCAAGCAATCAGACTCAGAATCCTTTCTCTGAACTATTATTCTCTCTTGCTTCTCAATTTTCCTTTTTTGCAGCATCCCTGATTTCTTTGAATTATTTTCTTGAATCTCTCCCTCATTTGACTTTGAGGAGGAAAAACTACCCTGTCCTTCTCTCTCTCAAGAGTAAAGGGGGAGGGGCACCTGGGTGGCTCAGTGGGTTAAGCCTCTGCCTTTGGCTCAGGTCATGATCTCAGGGTCCTGGGATCGGGCCCTACATAGGGCTCTCTGCTCAGTGGGGAGCCTGCTTCTCTTCCTCTTTCTCTGCCTCCCTCTCTGCCTACTAGTGATCTCTGTCTGTCAAATAAATAAATAAAATATTAAAAAAAAATAAAAAAAGAGTAAAGGGGGAAATTGTCTTACCACAAACATTCCTATTTCCGCAAAACCAAGAGCTCCAAAGATGTTACTTCCCTTTTCCTCCCAAAGTCCTCTAAAGACTAGAAGAGAGAGCTTAAGAATGGGGGGTGGGGGTTGATGGCCATAAGTTGAGTTCTGTTCTTCCTCCTGGTAAGCCTTGGAGGAAGTATCTGACTCTCTTTAGAATTTGGGGTACTTAGCCATTCTTGTTTATTAGCTGTGAGCCCTAGTAGCCAGTTGTGGGGCAAAGGAAAAATAAGCTTATGACTGAGGCTATTGTAGTAGTCTAGGCTAGTCTAGGATAGAGACTTGGGCTGGGGTGGCAGTGAAAATGGAGAGAATCAGATAAATCTGGGATATATTCTTCAAATAAAACCAAAGGGTATGGTGGTAAACTGAATACGGGGGAGAAGAAAACAGGCATCAAAGAAGAGGATTTGGTTTGAACAACCAGGTGGATTTTCTGAGAGAAGGAAGGCTAGAGACAGGAAAAGATCAGATTAGAAGTGTGAGGGTGTCTTGATTGTCTAGAGTACTGTTTGCCTGGTTAAGTTTTGGATACCTGTCAGACAGAGATATCAAATAGCGGAGATATCAAATAGAAAGTTAGATGTAGGAGTTTGGAGCTCAACAGGCAAGGTAAAATCTAGAATTATGCACTTGAAAATCATGGCATGTCCTGAGTCAAAGCCATGGGATCAGATAAAGTTAATTAAGGAGAAGATGAGAAAAAGAGAAGGCTGAAGATCAAACCTCTGTATTCACCAGAAAATTCAGCAAGAGACTGCCAAAGAGTCACCAGTGAGATGGGAGCAAAACAAGGACAGCGTCTTTTGTGTCCCAAGAGAATAAAGTCTGTGTCATGGTTTGACTATCCAGGTACAGAATAAGCTATGTCCAGAGGAAGTGATGCATTGACCTATTTCAGATGGTTTTGAAGCAAATGCTGAACTCAAATTGTCTGCCATATAGGAAATTCAAACAAAACTTGAGTGGGAGTAAAGAAGGTGAGACTAAATTGTCTTAAGATCTCTTTAATCCAGGTGAGTCTATCACTGAACCATTTACTTTCAACAGTCTTATATATGAATGTAGAAAAATAAACCATTTTTGGTGAAGAATTTAGAACATGTGGCTAAGCTCCCAGTAACTTAACTAACTTGCATGGGAAGTGTTTTACGATTCACATTTTATATTTTTGATGGGAAGAACATAACTAAAAGTGGAGATTGGGATGGTTTAAAGATTAAACCAGGACCTGTTATTTATATGTAATTGATTAGTGCTAAAAAGATTATGAAACAATTTGCCTATAGCACGGAAATGTGAAAATAAATAGAGGCTTCAGCTAAATTGTTTTCAATGTAAGCCTGTTTATTTATTTATTTTTTAATTTTAATTTTTTTTTTTTATTTGACAGACAGAGATCACAAGCAGGCAGAGAGGCAGGCAGAGAGAGAGGGGGAAGCAGGCTCCCCGATGAGCAGAGAGCCCCATGGGGGCCTCGATCCCAGGCCCCCGGGATCATGACTGGAGCCGAAGGCAGAGGCTTCAACCCACTGAGCCACTCAGGCGCTCCCCTGTTTATTTTTTTAAAAATTACCTTTATTAACCTCTTGCTCTTCTATGAACAGATAATACTGCCAGTTATTATCCCCCCTGCGTGCTTCTAGTCTATGAATTTTCAAACGTCACTGTACATTAGACTCAACTGGAAGGCTTTCTAAAAAATACACATTCCAAGGTCACATCTCCAGAGATTCTGATTGGGTGTAGCCAGGAAATCCGTATTTTGACTAGTATTCCAGGTGATTCTAGGGAAGATAATCCCTGGGCCACAGTGGGCGATACACTGTTCCTGATCCTATATTTCAGGTGTAGGTAACTCTCTTCGGGTGGCAAAGGGGCCACTTGGGTCTCCATCCTTATTTCTATTTTATTTTTTTCTCTTTTAGATGAATAGTTTACATAACAGAAATACAAAACTGTAAGATTAAAAGCCTAGAAACATCAAATGTAGAGCTTTTCTGGCATAGTAATTATGAATAAACTACTATTTGCTTTTATAAAAATAAGCTTTGGGGAAACTTTTTATCCCCAAAGATTCATCCAACTTGCTTTGGGGGAGAAATCTAGACTTGAGTTTATTTTTAAGGAAATAATGACTTAAAAAAAAGTATCCAGATAACTTCTAATTACTCTGTTTTGGAGTGAATGAATAAATCAGTTATTTGGAAACCACAGTTAGAGATGAAGAGCTCTTAAGTGTTGATATTTGTTTTGACATCCTGGCCATACACTGAAGTAATGTGTTTTCAGATTTGTTTTTTCCCCCTAATAGAAACAATTGTTCTTGTGAATCCAGTATGTTTTCCTTAATACCAAATCGTTTCTAAGTCCTATGATAGTAGAAGTTAAAATGACAGTAAAGTTTGACAGTATAGTAATATTACATGTTTATTATCTATGGGGCTTTGTTCATGTTAGATATTCAGTACATGATTGGAAGAGTGCAATTATGTGTGAGCCTTTAATAATTAGTTTTCATTCTTCCCCTTTATGTTCTTAGCTGTGAAATCTGCTTGCCTACTTGATCCTGAAGCATTTCTTTAGTGCCTCTCAAGATTCTAGGAGACCCTTAAAAAATTAGAGAACTGAGAACCAAAAGTAACATAATTGATGTTGCATATGTAGATATATAAACAACATGTTCTTGGAACCAACCCTGCCTAAGAGATAGGAAATTCTAACATGTTGGGGCAGAGGGTGGGCCCATGAGGGGGAATGTCCTGTCCAAAAGCTCAAGGTTTTGTTTACTTGTTTGTTTGCTTTTTGACATTAATTAATAACAAAAAATTACAGAAATACTGCAGTGATTGAGTTTTCTGTTGAGGCATCTCAGATGAAAATCATTTCATGGGCTTATAATTCCAAAAGCCGGTATCAGACACAAGGTCTGCCTTAATGCTATCAAATTAAACCATGGCAACTGATACATCTAGTATCCATCGTTTCAAATTCCAATTTTGTGTTTGAGTTTAAAAAGTAACTAAAAGCAATCAGATTATGTATATATTATGTATGTCATGTGTAATATGTATATTCAAATCTGGTAACTTGGTTAATTAAGGACTAGGAGAAAAAGTTGACATAAGGTACAACTGGGACCTTGAAAGGCTTTCATTAATTTCTCCTCCTTCTCTTGCCTTCATTTACTGCTTTAGGCACAACAAATGTCCTATATTTGATTTGAAACTTTATTTTCTAAGAACTAAAGTTGAGAACCCCCATTTAAACATTCTCAATGTACTCATGACTTGGAGTTATTAATAATATTCATGTCTAATTTTATAGAGTCATTGTAAAATAAAGAGTTACTGCATCAAAGTATGGCTTTTGGGGAGATACTTTGGAAGAAAATACAGAAACCTGAGACATACATCTCTGTACAGGGCAGCATTTAAATTTCTGACTCCAACCACAACTGTGATTGTTTTTAGTTTGTTAACTGCCTGGGAGTGTTATTTTAAGAAAGCAGAAGCACCATCATTTGCACAGTCCTTATAGATCACACACCTTAGCCCTGACTTTTCAGCTTCGGTTTCTCAAAAGGATTGAAGTCAAGATGAGGAGCCCTTTGTTTTTCTGTGGAGTCCTAGCCATTTTTGTTAAGGCTGTTCTGGTAACAGGTATGTGCTATTTTGAAAATTAACCCACATAAAAGGAAAAATGGAACACAGATCTGCTTTTCTTTGTTTACTTTGGTTAGCTAGCTAGCTGGCTACTTTTTCTAACATGCCTTAATCTTTCTATGGGCAGTGATCTTTACGCAGAGAAGACTCACTGTAATTCTTTTTATTCTTTTTTCTCTTATTTGTTTACCTACTATAACCTAGAGAAGAAGAAAATATATATTTATGAATAAGTATTGATAGCTATACTTACATAAATATCCACTTTAAATCTTGAAAATCAGTAATCCTCTCCTCGAGTATCTTAAATGAATATTCTGGAGAAATGAAGTAATAATTACTATAACTACCATATGGGATGCATTGGGCTTTTACATCCCTAGAGAGACTGATACTAGTTCTAACAATTTCCCTGAATCTGAGCCTACAGATTTAGTATGATAATTTAACAGTGTCTAGTGTTGTACAGGTTGCCTATGACTCCATGGTGTAACTTTGGTTGTTTTGTTTACTAACCTTTCAAACTACTGTAGAGAATGGAATACACTCTGAATACAGATGTAATAATTGTCATCTAGAAGGGTAATGAGTTAGAAGTGATGTAATTTGGCATGATGTTTTCTAACACTTACTGAGCTTATTCTTATTTCAGAACAGGGTATGATGTAATTAAGAATAGTCATTTTACATATATTTCTATACTAATTTAGCATTAGAAATAATGCATTTCTTTTTTAAAATATTTTATTTATTTATTTGACAGAGAGAGAGAGAGAGAGATCACAAGTAGGCAGAGAGGCAGGCAGAGAGAGAGGAGGAAGCAGGCTCCCTGCCGAGCAGAGAGCCCGATGCGGGGCTTGATCCCAGGACCCTGAGATCATGACCTGAGCCGAAGGCAGAGGCTTTAGCCCTCTGAGCCACCCAGGTGTCCTGAAATAATGCATTTCTAATAATATTTTAAACAAAAAGATAGTAGTATTAAAACAGGTACAGTATATGTATCTATATATGTAAATACATGTTCATGAACATGTTTATATACCTATAAACATATGTAAAACATATATAAAAGATCTATCATTGAGTACATACTATTTTCCAGGCATTATGCTATCTGCTTTACATATACTATTCCATTTAATTCTCACAATAACCACTTGAGGGTAGATACTATTCATATTTCTAACATATAGGGGTGCCTGGGTGGCTCAGTCGTTAAGTGTCTGCCTTCAGCTCAGGTCATGATTCCAGGGTCCTGAGATCAAGCCCTGCATTGAGCCCCACATCAGGCTCCCTGCTTGGCAGGAAGACTGCTTCTCCCTCTCCTATTTCCCCTGCTTGTGTTCCCTCTCTCACTGTGTCTCTCTCTGTCAAATAAATAAATAAAATCTTTAAAAAAAATATTTCTAACATATAGTTGAATCTACTGAGCTTCAGAGAGGCAAAGTAACTTACCTACAGTCACACAGCAAACATGTAGAACCCAGGCCATCTCACCCGATAGCCCATGGTCCTAACTTCTATCCTATTCTGCCTATATTGGAGAATCACCTTTTGGTAAACTCGTGTTCATATCTACTATGTGTTGTTAAGTATATTTTCTTATTTGTTTGAACTGAATTAAATTTAACAAATATTTATTGGGCACCTGCTATGTCTCAGGTACTCTTGGAGTAAAGCAAGGCACAATCTATAACACAGGTTTATTTGGAAAAATATTGCCTGTAAGTGAGAATGTTAGAAACTTCTAAGGCTTGGTGAATTGACTGTATTTGTACATTTCCTGGTAGATATAGTAGACTGCCTAATATTTTTATTTAGTAACAGTAAATAGTAATAAAAATTAATAGTTTTTTCCTAGGTTTCTGGTAAGAAAAATTTTATACTCAAAATAAAATATAGAAATCTTCTATTTAAGACTTTAATAGTCAAGTCACATACTTGACTCAATCTGTATTTTTGTCAAGCGTTACACATTCATTTGTATTTTATTGAGAACAACATTTAATAAAATAAGATGAAATCAGAGAGAGAGATAAACCATAAAAGACTCTTATCTATAGGAAACAAACAGGGTTGCTGGAGGAGAGGTGGGGGAGGGGATGGGGTAACTGGGTGATGGATATTAAGGAGGACACTTGGTGTGATGAGCACCGGGTGTTACATGCAACTGATGAATCACTAAACTCTATCTCTGAAGCTAATAATACACTATATGTTAATTAATTTAATTTAAATAAAAAAATAAAAACATTTAAGAATCATGAATATAGGAGTAGGGAAGAGGACACCATTTAAGTCATCTTATTCTTTTCAAAATGTTGAGTTATATTATTGTCTTGTATTCATAATGTTTCTTCTCCAATACTATACAGACTTTTATCAGAAGATGTATTAAGAAGTTATGAATAATGCCATAATAATGCATGGTAAAGTACTTCCAACAGTTAGAAGTACAAAACAATGGTCTTAAATGTTTTTGTAATGACTGTTATCATCAAGACTGAAATACTGCAATTAGGTCCTCTCTGCTTTGGGACATCTGTGAAATAATTAGACTTCCAGTTACAATTATATCTATCCTGATCATTTAACCTTTGTAACTTCAATTAATGTGTTAAATATATATATATTTTTAAGTCGAGACTTGATGGGAGAAATATTAAAGGTCATTTAAAATTAAGATTAAAGTTAAAATTATAGAAATAAAAAACATATTTAGTACGTTAATTTTATGGTGGTGGAGTATAAGTTTGTTTTAAGTACCCTACACTGAGTAAAAGCTAACATTGGTAAATTCTATCAAATTGAGTATTCTAGTTGGGAAATTGTATCATAGTTTTTCAGATGTTACCACTGGGAGAAATTGGGTAAAATGTACATGTGTTCTCTTTTTAGTATTTATTATAACTACATGTGAATTTACAATGATTTAAAAAAGTTTAATTTAAAAACAAAACAAAAATATATCAAACATCATCATTATTGTTTAATTAACACTAGTAAAGTTGTTATTGATTCTTCAAATGCCTGTTAACTGATCTGAGTCCAGATAACGCGAAATTTTCTTTGCTTCTTCCTTGTAACACTTCCCAGACCTCTTTGTCCAATATTCAGATTCGACAATAAATGTTGATACTCAGAGTTAAGGCTTTAATGGTCATCTGTGTATCCATTCACTTACTATTTTTTCTGTAAACAGTACATTATATTAAGTAGAGCTTGTACCTCAAAATATTTTCTAAATTGTTTTTGTAAATTCATAGCACTTTACATCTATATATGCCATATCTTTTAAAACAATTCCTTTAGGAAATATTAATAAATATAACACTTATTATTTTATTTGATTGAATCATTATGCCATGCTAGCCTTGTTATTATTATGAAAAAGAAGAATACAATTAAGTTTAGGAAAATTGTAGTAAAGAATATTTAAACATCTCACAAAAAAGTAGGGTTATCTTGGGGAAAATGTGCCTGTTCTTAACTGTAATCCAATCTAAGGAGAAAAAAATAATATAAGTGGGAGTTCAGGAAGGATGTGACACTTCAAACTGGGACTTATAAAGGCTAATATTATTTGTTGTTCACTCTTGAATTATTACTTTGAAGTGAGAGACATCTAGTCTAGATTTTTTTTTTCTCTATCATTTTGTCATTTGGCACTGATCTTTGTAAGGCTACATTATTCAGAGCTGTGCTTCTATTAAAAACATTAGATGAAAACTAGAATTCTTTTAGCCCAGGTTCCCACAGATGGGGCCAAGAGAAAAAGAAAACAATTTGTCTGAAGTGCATTTGGATTTCCTTCATGATGCTGTGAGATTCCACTTAGCATGTTAGATTAGGAAAGAGGACAAAAATGGAGAAAACTGAAACTGATCAATCATAAAACTTAGTTTTTCTACTGGAAAAAAGGTAAATCAACCCAATAAAAGTACAGAAACATACCTTTCCCCCCTTTCTTTTTTTTAAATTATTTTTATTAACATATAGTGGATTATTTGCTTCAGGGGTACAGGTCTGTGAATCGTCAGTCTTACACAATTCAAAGTACTCACCATAGCACATGCCCTCCCCAATATCCATAACCCATCCACCCTATCTCTACACCCCGGCTACCCCCCAGCAATCTTCAGCTTGTTTTGTGAGATTAAGAGTCTCTTATGGTTTGTTTCCCTGCTGATCCCATCTTGTTTCATTTTTTCCTTCCCTACCTCCCTTTCTTTTTAATATGTTTTATTTCTCAAGCCCAAGATGAAGATGGAGTGACTGTTCTTGCTGACAACAAATGTCAGTGTGCCCGGATCACTTCCAGGATCATCCCTTCTCCCGACAACCCTAATGAAGACATTATAGAGAGAAACATCAGAATTGTGTACGTGGCTCTTTAAATTTCTTTTATATTTTCATGTTGTAAGCAGAGATACTTTCTGATATTAGCCATTTTTTTAATGTATTGACTGTAATACCTATGTCTCTACCTCTTCTTCTTTTTAAGGGAGAGAGAGAGAGATTAGAGTGGGGAGAGAGGCAGAGAGAGCGGGAGAGAGAGTCTTAGCAGGGTGGGCATGTAGCTTGAGGTAAGATTCTATCTCACAAACCTAAAATCATGACCTGAGTGGAAATCAAGGGTCTGTCACTTCATCAACTGAGCCATCCAGGAGCTTCTCTACTCCTCTTTTTGATGTGTAATACTTACATGAACCTGTTTCCATAGATATTATCTATGTATGTATAGATACACATACACTTTATGTGAGGATTAAATATGCTAAATGGACAAAATTAAATATGCTAATGGACAAAAGCATCTAGGACAGTGTTCAAAAACCCACAGTAGGTACTCATACATGTTTATTATCCTTCTCATTATTCAAGGCTTCTTCTGATATTACTAGAGCCTTTACAATCTAATAAGGAGGAGATTCATTCATTCATTCATTCAGCAAACATGTATTGAGGGCAACTGAATGCCACTGAGGATTGGAGCTGGTGATACAACAATTTATATAAAACACAGTCCATGCCATCAAATAGTTCACAGTCTAGTAGGGAACTTTAAACAACTTAAAAGGCAATTGCAATACCGTATTGTTAGTGCTGTGACAGGAATAAATGCAAGGTGTTATGGGAGCACTAAGGAGGGGCACCCGGTCCAGTCCTGGAGAGTGAAAGGAGGGTGGCAGTGGAAGTCAGGCAGAGGTGTTGGAGTACTCGATGGCAGTGGAGGTTAGCTGGCCTAGTGGGAGTTACCTGGGTAAATGTCTGTGGGGAACGACAGGGGTGGTAGGTGAGGCAGATCATTGCAGGAAAAGGAAACAGTCGCCGTGCCGATTGTATGAGATCATCACAGAACACCCTTCCATAGTACCAGGCACATTGCAAGTACTTCATAAATGTTAGACTCTTGGTGTTTTGTTACTGTTAAGACTTGGAGATGAGAGGGGCGCCTGGGTGGCTCAGTGGGTTAAAGCCTCTGCCTTCGGCTCGGGTCGTGATCCCAGGATCCTGGGATCGAGCCCCGCGTCGGGCTCTCTGCTCAGCGGGGAGCCTGCTTCCTCCTCTCTCTCTGCCTGCCTCTCTGCCTATCTGTGATCTCTGTCTGTTAAATAAATAAATAAAAATATTTAAAAAAAAAAAAGACTTGGAGATGAGAAAAGCATGGCAAGTTTATGGAATTGCAAGCAGGTGTTTCCAGCTGGTGTTTAACGAGGGTGGCCCCACGGAGGGATGGGGCTGGCGAGCTGCAGGTGTATCATCAGTGCCTTCTGTGCTGTTTTCTGGGTGGAGACACTGTGGGATTAAAGCTGAGAAGAACATCGGGCTTGTATCTTAGAGGCCATTTTGGCAAGAATGTGGCTAATACGTTGAAGGGGTCAAGACTAAAAGAGAGTACTGCTGTAATGTAGGAGAGAAATGGCAGTGTCTTGAACCAAGTGCACAGATTGCAAAGAATCAGAATCAGCGGAACTGTGGGTTGGATTAGATATCAGTCATTACAGAGAGGGGGCACCCAGGAATGGGATCTAAGGGTTTGACTCGGTATCTATGTAGACAGTATTGCTAAATCCATCCTCACGTTTTCCTTTGAGTCATTTGGTAGGGAGGGGTGCATGTGAGGAGGAATGATGGCATATATTTTTGCATCACCACGGATGGGACTGGAGGAAATTATGCTGCATGAAATAAGTCAAGCAGAGAAAGTCAGTTATCGTATGGTTTCTTTTATTTGTGACTCATAAGGAATAGCATGGAGGACATTAGGAGAAGGAAGGGAAAAATGAAGGCAGGGGGAATAAGAGGGAGAGACAAACCATGAGAGACTATGGACTCCGAGAAACAAACTGAGGGTTTTAGAGAGGAGGGGGCTGGGGGGATGGGTTAGCCCTGTGATGGGTATTAAGGAGGGCAGGGATTGCACTGAGCACTGGGTGTTATACTCAGACAATGAATTGTGGAACACTACATCAAAAACTAATGATGTAATGTATGGTGACTAACATAACATAATGAAAAAAAATTAAAAAAAAGAAGAATAACTAAAAAAAAGAAAAAATGTGAAATTAATGAAACTACTTCAACTATTTGATGTTACCTAATTTTTCATGGAACATCACCAAATCAAGAGGCCTGGAGTCCAGTTACAGTTTTACTACTTAGTTGTTATATGAACTTGGGTAGGTCATTGAGATCTCTGGTTTATTTCAGTATCCCATAAATATGGATAATAATGTCTGTCCATCTCTTCCATAAATATTGAACATATTCTACATGCCACACATCTAGAAAAGCATTGAGAAAACATAATTGGTTTTGCCTCAAAGAATTTATGTAGTCTGGGGAAGAAATTTCTCTATAGACAAGGAACTATATGGCACTTACAATAAAGATACGTGAACTTCGGGGTGCCTGGGTGGCTCAGTGGATTAAAGTCTCTGCCTTTGGCTCTGGTCATGATCCCAGGGTACTGGGATCGAGCCCCGTATCAGGCTCTCTGCTTAGCAGGGAGCCTGCTTCCTCCTCTCTCTCTCTCTACCTGCCTCTCTGCCTACTTGTGATCTCTGTCAAATAAATAAATAAAAAATCTTAAAAAAAAAAAGATACCGGAACTTCAACAAGATGAAAGAGAAGGAGTTTGTTCAGGAGTGAGGATGGATCATCATAAAAAGGGGAAAACTTGAGTTGATTTTTAAAGGAAAAGCACGGCTTTGCCAAGTGAGCAATGATCATTGACAGAGGAGTCTCTGAGAGGTTTACTTTGAACGGTAAATGTTTAAAATATGTAAATTATTGTGAAATCTGAGTAATAGTATTACTGTAGAGTGGTTTTAGTCTTATAAAGTGCTAAATGTGCTAAATTCCTGATGAAATAGTAAATACTGTCCCAGCAACATACCTATTACCAAAAAAGCAGTATCTGTTCTTTTCATTATTTTGATTTATTTTCTTTCTTTTTTAAGTGTTCCTCTAAACAACCGGGAGAATATCTCTGATCCCACCTCACCAGTGAGAACCAGTTTTGTGTACCATTTGTCTGACCTGTAAGAGATTTTCCTTCATGCTAATATAGATATGGAAGTTAATAACTTTAAATTTGTTAGTAGGAGTGTTTCTGAAAATATGGGATATAAACATTTACTGATATAATTTGAGCTTTTGAATACGTTAATTTCTATGTTAATTATTAGATATCATAAATTTATAAAACTTTATCACAGATGAAAGTTAGGTATAAATTTATTCTGAATAAGAAATTATTGCCAGTAGTACAGAAGGGCCAATTTGTCTTAAGTTAAATAATTAGATTCCAGACATATTAACATGCAGCTGTTTCTTTGGAAGCTATAGAATCCAACATCAAATAACTTATTTTTCTTAAAAACATTCTGCCTTCCTTGTCACTGTAAAGAACTTGTTTAATCTCAGTGTACTTGTTTAATCCCAGTGTATAGGTGGGAAAAACCTAAGAGAGTAGAAGTTGCTGTATGGTATAGACAAAACAATCATATTATATCATTAATTATATTGTTTACTTTCAACTAATTTTTATATATTAAAGGTTGAAAAATTCCATTAACTATTCTGTAGAGTAGCTGAGGTCTGAAAGGAGTTATGAGCAAGAGCTGCTAATTTTGGATAGAAACGAATATTCACTCAGATTCTGAGACAACATTTGATGGGGATAGTCTAATGAGTGTATTTGTTTTTCAGCTGTAAAAAATGTGATCCTGTAGAAGTGGAGCTGGATAATCAAATAGTTATTGCCTCCCAGAGCAATCTCTGTGATGAAGACAGTGAGACCTGCTACACATACGACAGAAACAAGTGCTACACAAATTGGGTCCCATTTACGTATGGCGGTCAGACCAAAATGGTGGAAACAGCCTTGACCCCGGATTCCTGCTACCCTGACTAATTTAAGTCATTGCTGACTGCACAGCTCCTTTTCTTGAAAGGCTCTTCATTTTGATCCAGAAAGTTCATGTATTTACTACCAATGAATTTGAAGCAGTGATTTTTTTGTTAATATAAAGCTACCCCCCAAATAGAAATAGTAATATTATTACTTTTATTGAAATTACTTTTCAACTATATGTTCTCACTCTAAGTATTGAGATCTCTCATAGTCCTTGCCCAGAGGGTTATACGACCTTGAGAATTTAATTTCTAGTATTTAAAAATAGACAAGAGGAGAAAACAAAACTCAAAGAGTAAAAATAAGAAGACATAATCAAATTTCACTTTTTTTTTTTTTGGCCTTGCCTTGGAGAGCCAGAGCTTTCGCACTTTCCACCCTCTTCTCTTTTTAAAAAGTATCACTGTGCAGAGAAAATTCGTGTGTAAACATAGGTCAATTACATGTCTTCACTAGAAAAATAATAATTGGAAAACACGTTTTGGAAATAATTGCAAAAATAATTTAAAATGGGATCTCCATTTGTGAAACCAATTAGCTACAAGTGACATAATTAAATTGAAAAAATATATTTTGACGTAGTACAGATTTGGTGGAAGACGATACAGACTCTTTTTGATGATCAGCAGACTGTAAGACATTCCCATTGGAAATCATCTATCTTGTAACTGTATCTGATGAAGTATGTATCCAAAACATGTATTCTCTAGCACAGCTTAAACAATTAAATAGATTCATAAGCATATACCTGTGTGAAATAATTTATTGAAAAGTTTACTCGTGTTAACTTCATTGCATGTAAGGTAAAATATAATTTATTGCTGATGAGCAGTTCGTAAGTATGGTATAATTATGCATTAATCACTGAATTCATACATGTACATATTTGAAGTAGCTTTGTCATTTAAGCCTAAAATTTAATTAAAAGGCAAGGTCCCTCTTGACAAACATAGTGTTTACCATGGCACATAAAAAAGCCCAAGGCCAACTGACATACATACCCAAGGGTTCTGTGGAAAGTAAATGCTGATTCAGGGTTTAAAATAACAGGAGAGTGTTTGGTAAAAGTCAGTTTCCTGAAGAGGCATTGTTCTTCTTCTTTTTTTTTTTTTTTTAATGGGAACAGTAATTACTATAACTGTACGGATTATTCAGTGTCGGGTTTTTTGTTGTTGTTTTGGGGGGATAAAGCTTGGAAACTCTAGTGCTTCTGTAGGAATCATAGTTGATGCACAAAAGACACATCATTCTTGACTAATCTAGTGTGTGGTTTTAGCCAAGTTTTAAAATTTTATCTAACTAGTAAACATTTATTAAATATTTATGCCATGCAAGGAACTGTGCTACACTTTTTGGCGATTAAGCTGTGATTAAGTGCCTTCCAAACAGCACTACTCACTCCCTAGGCGTCTGCTCAGTTCTCACGAAGCTCACCCTGTTTTTCAGAACTGTAAACTCTATTTCCTTATCCTGGTTTACTTCTCCCTGTATACATATTACCCCCTTGTGGACTATATAATTTACTTATTTACCATTTTATAGTTTCTCCCCCCCCCCACTAGAGTATAAGGTCCACAAGGGTGGGCATTTTTATTTTACTCAGTGATGTATCCCTAGCACCCAGAACAGTGCCTGGCACATTGAGGTGCTCAGTACATGTTTGTTGAATGAATGAACATGAATACAGTTTACTTGAGAAGACAAGACATACACATAAAAAATGACAATCATTTGGGGCGTCTGGGTGGCTCAGTGGGTTAAAGCCTCTGCCTTCAGCTCAGGTCATGATCTCAGGGTCCTGGGATAGAGCCCCGCATCGGGCTCTCTGCTCAGCGGGGAGTCTGCTTCCCCGCCCCCCCTGCCTGCCTCTCTGCCTACTCGTGATCTCTGTCAAATTAAAAAAAAAAAATCTTAAAAAAAAATTACAGTCATTTGACAGAATCTCATAAAGACAAACAAATAGGTCCCAAAGTGTTACGAGAATTTATGGGGCACTTCCTGTTGGGGAATGTGGTCAAAAAAGATGTGACCACTGATTGACTCGTGAGCTGCACCTGGGCACTTAGAGGCTTCTCTCCCCCTCCCTGTCTCTGGAATGTGGGTTCTGCTAGCCTATTCCACTCCTGGAGGCTTCTCCAAGGACATTGCCTTGAGATAGTGATGCGGTGTTGAAATCACTTGCATAGTATACATGCTTGAGCCAGTTAAGGCCTCTTTATAAGATTTTAAGATTTGGCAGGCAGGTGTGGGGACCCACTCGTCCTGTTGCTGCCCAAGACAAGCCTCATATGTAAGTTTCCTTTGCTATAATTAAAATTGCCACCTACCAGCATGAAGTGGCCTGCTTGTTTCTTTGGTTTCTTCCTGACCTCTGCGTCAAGGGGCTGGTTTCAGATTATACCAGAAAAGTCCCTGAGAGACCTGTGAACCTACATTTCTCCCTCTCCCCCCCCTAGTTTTATTGAGATATAATTGACATATAACACTGGATAAGGTAAGGTGTACAACATAATAACTTTGCATACATATCTATTGTGAAATGATTATTGCCATAAGTTTAGTTAACATCTGTCACTTCATACAGTGACAAAAATTTTTTTTCCTTGTGATGAGAACTTTTAGGGGGAGACTGTTTCTGAAGAGGGTCCTCTGTCCTTTCCCCACCCTTGCTTTAGTTTTTCTGCATACCCGATAGAAAACATTTTTGGGTTGGGGCGCCTGGGTGGCTCAGTGGATTAAGCCTCTGCCTTCGGCTCAGGTCATGATCTCAGGGTGCTAGGATCGGGCCCCGCATCAGGCTCTCTGCTCAGCAGGGACCCTTCTCCCCCCGCCCCCGCCTGCTGCTCTCCCTACCTATGATCTCTCTGTCAAATAAATAAATAAAATCTTAAAAATTTTTTTTTTGCGGGTGGGGGGACGCCTGGGGCTCAGTTGGTTACGTCTGCCTTACGCTCAGGTCATGATCCCAGGCCCTGGTATAGAGTTGCTGCATGGGGCTCCTTCCTCAGTGGGGAGCCTGCTTCTCTCACTGCCTGCTGCTCCCCTTGCTTGTGCTCTGTCTCTCTTTCTCTTTCTGACCAATAAATAAATAAATCAAAAAAAAAAAAAAAAAAGGAAAGCATTTTTGGCTATTGTGAGCATTGCTGCCATAAGAGACTCTTAACCAAAGGAAGCAAACTGAGGGTTGCTGGAGGGGAGGAGGGGGCGGGTAGGAGAACCGGGAGCCGGGTGATGAGCATGAAGGCGGGCGTGTGATGTAAGGAACACTGCATGTTATCCGCAAACGATAAACGGCTGAACTCTACCTCTGAAACTAATGATACACTCTATGTCTGTATGTTAATTAATTGAATTTAAAAAATTAAAGAAAATGATTTTGTTACCACGTGGCAGATTCTTGTAAGAAAGACCCTTACTCCGGTGTCAGTGCATCATTATGTGACAGCTGAACGATGACGGCAAACTTACGGTTCCGTAGGTCTTGCTTCTTTCAGAAGCTCAGTTAAACTCTAAGACCCAGCACGTTAATAACAATTTGGCCACTTACCATGTGCTAAGACACCAGCCTAATTGCTTTATCTTATCGAGCATTAACTCATTCAGTAAAGTCCAGAGCAGCTGCTGCCTTTTAAGTGAGGCTTGTTGAAGAAAGGCTGTCCTACATTTGCTTGCATCACTGGACAGTTACCAGGGGAGCGCTAAGGAATCGGCATAGAAGAGGCAGCTCAGAAGGGACACTTGGCTCCTTGCAGGTGCCTTCTCTGACTGACGGCTCTAGTACGAATCACTGGGTTTGTGTGAGCGGCCCATGAACTGCCTCCCAGCCAATAACGATCGAGTGTGGCAAGAACACCAAGACAGGCTCGTTCCTGGGAGACACAGGACTCCCCTGATGGGTGACTGACTTGACTTCCCAATCAGCTTCACGAAAAATTTCTTGGCACGGCACTACCCTTAGATATTACCTACCCAGCCTTCCTTCCTATCCTCTTTCCTCCACATGGGCCAGGCCTGCATCAGGGTCTGATAGCTCTCCCAGTGTTCTTGGGCTCCCACCCAGTCTCTTACAGGCGTTTTTTTTTCCTGATAAATCTCTTGCACCTTTAATCTCATCTTGGCTTCTGCTTCTTCAGGACCTAAATTAAATTAATAAAGCTAATTATGAGGTATCTGATTTAATGATTGTGATATTGAGCATTCTTCCCATGCCAGGGGATTTACCTATGCCATCTCATTTAATCCTCACACTAACCCTTTGAGTGTTACTTTTATATTGTAAATGAGAAAACCAACTCAGTGGGTAATTAACAATTTGACCAGTTCATATGTCTAGTAAATGGCAATGAGACCTGAATCACTGCTACAGTCTTAAAAAATATTAATAGACATTCTTTGGCAATCATTTATTCTCACTAATAACATTTTCTCAAAACTCATGAAACATTTTGAGGTTAATGTGACAAATTCATTGACCTGTTAAAAAAGTAAATTATTTTTGTATTTCTTGTCCTTTCTTTTTAGTTTGAATTAAATAGATATTTTTAAAAGACAGGCATAAGTGGGTATTCTTGGTGAGAATGTTTTCCTTCCATAGAGTTCTTGACAAGTTAGCCATTTACCTAAGTGAGCACACTCAGCACCAGTAGAGAAAAATTATGTTAATTAACACTAGGAGTAATGCTTTTTTGTTACAAGCCCTTAGAGTCCGGTAGACCCCAGCCAAGTGTTCAGTTTTCACTTTAGGACTATTGTTATTTCTAATTGTTTTACATAACTTAATATTCAAAATGAATCATATTTATAGTACCATATCATAAATACACCAATGTATACACATTCATAATCAGACATGTGTGGACTCCCTAACCTAGAAGCAGTGGGATAGGAAAATTAACCTTTGATATATTTCTCAGGTCTTGGCTTGGGGATGGCAGTATAATAGAGTGGGTAAATCCATGGCGTGGGTTGAAATACAGACTGAGTGACTGAATGATAGGTCACTAATGGCAAGGTCATTGAATCTAAGGTTGAAAAATGGGGGTAAAAACAACTATCTTACAGACTTTAAAAAAATAATTAATTGATTAATTTTTATTAACATATAATGTATTATTTGCCCCAGGAGTACAGGTCTCTGAATCATCAAGCTTACACACTTCATGGCACTCTCCATAGCCCATACCCTCCTCAATGTCCATAACCTAGACACCCTACCCCTATTCCCCCAACACCCAGCAACCCTCAGTTTGTTCCGTGAGATTAAGAATCTCTTATGGTTTGTCTCCCTCCTGATGCCATCTTGTTTCATTTTTTTCCTTCCCTACCCCTCTAACTCCCCACTCTGCCTCTCAAATTCTTCATATCAGGGAGATCATATGATAACTGTCTTTCCCTGATTGACTTATTGCGCTCAGCATAATACCCTCTAGTTCCATCCACATCATTGCAAATGGTAAGATTTCATGTTTTTTGATGGCTGCAGAGAATTCCATTGTATATATATATATGCCACATCTTCTTTATCCATTCATCTGTTGATGGACATCCAGGTTCTCTCCATAGTTTGGCTATTGTGGACATTGCTGCTATAAATATTTGGGTGCACGTGTCCCTTCGGATCACTACATTTGCATCTTTATGGTAGATACCCAGTAGTGTGATTGCTGGGCCATAGGGTAGCTTTATTTCAACTTTCTGAAGCACATCCATGCTGTTTTCCAGAATGGCTGCACCAGCTTGTATTCC